GAGGGACGCCCCGACATTCACAATTCTCGACAACCTCGCCGTCGTGCGTATTGTCGGGGATCTTCGACGGTGTTGAAACTAATTCTCGCCACGCTGGTAACAGCGAGTGCCTGTGTCCTCGCCTTTTACGCCGGGACAATATACGAGTACCAGAGGAACACTAAGTGGTCCAGCGGGGATGGGGGCCCGTTACAGCGTAAGACCGTCCCCTTGAGCCTTGAATCTGAACCTTGAACGTGTATATCACTTGGGCTTGAACACACACACACACAGAGAGAGAGAGAGAGAGTGTGTGTGTGTCTAGCGAGTATGTACCCACGTCCAGAGTGGCTGCTGATCTGCGCATGTCGCGAGGGAGAATAGTCCGCACCATCGAGTTCGAATTGGAATACAACGCGAGCTTCGGCGACGCACCCAGCCCCGTCACCGAGGCCGCCTGGGACGATTTGTTGCCCGTGCAGGGGGGATTCTTTCAACATCCCCAGATTGCCCCGTCACGGTCTGATTTTGCGGTATTCCACCAGTTGCATTGCTTGGTACGTTCATGACTTTCTCTCACAAAATGGACAAAAGTAGAGAGGAGGATCGCACATACATCATACATGTACCGGGTTACCGAGTATGTACTAACATGGAAAACGTTATGTAGAACGGAATCCGACAAGCCTACTGGTTCACCCACGCCATCGCCACGGGCGCCGCCACCCTCTCCGCATCAGCAGATGGCACCGACGCCGACATGTCCGAGATGATCTCCCCCCGCCACATCAGCCACTGCGTCGACCTGCTCCGCCAGGCGCTCATGTGCCAGCCCGACCTGACGGTCGAGGTCAAGGACGAGCGCGGCGGCGTCACGGGGTTCGGCACCGTGCATCAGTGCAAGGACTGGGCGCAGTTGATGGCCTGGATGGCCGAGTGGGAGAGGTACGGGCAGACCGACGAGGAGGCGTACGAGGCTGGGGAGAGACATCGTCATCATCATCATCAAGACCACCTTGGACATATGTAGCTTGGTGGGGATATAACTCGGTAGGGATATAGGAGATAGTGGCACTACTCCACCACTAGTCCTGGTGGAGTGGCACCGAATGGCTTAATCCACCCTTCGTCCAAGACGGAGTACTAGAATGACAGAATTAGACGAATGCCCCATCTATCTATGGCGATGACGCTTTGCCCGGCGGTCCAAATATATGAAAGGGCACCATACAGCTAGCTGGTCTCGCTCGGCACTGAGACTGGATTCTAGATTCCTCTCCGTCGTTGTTGCCGTGGAATGGTGAAGGAGGACAAAGAACAGCGCTGTGCGGGTTTAGAGCGAGAGATTATACTCTCTTCCCGTCCACTTGTTTGGGCAAGGTGGCGGGCGAATCCAGACAAGAAGGTCTGGCAAGTACGAACTCTTTGAATGTTTGAAAGAAACTTGTAGCAAAAGCAGAATGTCGCCATGCCTCGAAAGCCATGCCCTTAGATCTCTGAGCGCAAGGATACAAGCACACCGGCAGTCTACGGTGGAAATGCTACGACAAAGTTCCGCAAAGATATCCATCCCCAGATATACCACACCTCCTCATATCGATCCGTGGAAAGACATCTCCAGCAAAGGGACACCTACCACGCTCGAGGATGACTTCCCAAGACTCGGCTCCATCATTAAGCTCCGACACCTCAGTCATGGTCAGAAGCCCAGCAAGGTGACTGATCTGTGGATTGACCAGGCGGAAACCTTTGTAGTGGTACACCTCTTGGGCCGTATTGGTAGTTGCTGGCGTGGCCATATCCTGGCAGCTCCTCGGCTTGGAGTTGATGTTGCTCGGTTGAAAACCTCAGTGTCGAATACTGGCTGGCTGGCTGGCAGGTCTGGGCTGTCGGGTCGCCGTATAGCTACCGTACCCTGGCTAGCCCGGTCTCCATCTCAATCTTTCATGGCTTGGGGAAATTGAAGTCAAGAGCCGATGGGTAACTTGTTCATGATTGCCTGTTTCAACCCCTCGACAGTGTCGACCATCTCGACCCCGAATCTATTGCACACAATCTGCACATTTCCCCTCTTCCAGTACCCCTCTGGACAGGCGACAACAGCCTTGCCGGGAGCACGCGCACAGAGCCCCAACTCGAGCAGACTGACGGGCGCTTGGGTGGCCGGGTGGAAGAAGAAGACGATAATGTCAGCCTGGTCCTGCTTTTCAAGCTCCCACTCCACCTGCTTGCGATAGGGTGCAAAATCTACATCCTCGCGCCACGAACCGTCCCAGTCGGCGCGATACGGGTTGTAGATTGTGATGGGTGTGTCGCGGAGGGAGGTGCAGAGGGCCTCGCGCCAGTCGGTCGTGTTGTCGACTTTGCCCGTGGTGCCGGCGAGGAAGACGGATTTGACGCCTCGGGGAACCTCGTCTGAAGGCGCGTGGATGATCTGGCTCCGTGCCGGCGCCATCTTCAGGGATGAAGAATGTCTTCCCTGAGTACTATTGGTTGGAAGGGAGTATTCGCACGGGGGTATGGAAGAGACGGTGGATAACGTGAGCTCGAGACATGGGCTTGAGAGCAGAGTGGCTGCATAAAAGTGGAGGTTGATGGAGATGCCTGGAGGCACTAATTATGTACTACCACTCAAACGCTTCCCCGCCTCGGACTATTAACAGAAAGTACGGAAATGAATCACTTTCATTTCAAGTTCGAGTGAAAGTTCTCTGATTCACCTTGAAGCAAGAAAGTCGAAGAGGCCAAGAATAATCCTCAGCGCCTCCCTTCTATCATCAGGTACTTGAAGGTCAAAGTTATCCGAGCAAGAGACTTGGAGAGTCCTTTCAGACTGGCCACTGTAAAGATCCTCTAGATACGCAGATGGTATGACTGTCTCTTGAATCTGGAGGATATTGTCACTCAAACGAAGTACAAATGCCTCGTAGCTATGGCGACTTGGATCGAGGGAATGTGCCACACAGCCTTGTACGAGAGCTTGGGCGACCTCGTTGGCGAGGACTCTTGTCGGACTTTCTGTTGAGCTCACAACCTATATCTACTGTTAATCTCCCTGTCTGCATAAAAGCGTGATTCATACCAAAGAGGTAGCGAGCGGGCGTCCGGAAGGATCTGAGATGTTTAGACATTTCAGGACTCCGTGATCACCACGAGGTATTTCGAAGGATACTTCCGACTCAAGATTTAGAGCCCTGCACAGTATGAGCCGTAGTTGATTAAGAGAGAGCGTTTTTATCCTAGCAGCTTCTCTATGGAATTCGCGTTACTCAAGAGAACATCGAGGAAGTCCGAGATAGCTCTTGTGTAGGACTGAGAGCTGGAGTTTGGTTTGGTAGCATCGTGTAACCGGAGGAAGAAAGAATGAAATCTATTTTTCCGGTAGAGGGCGCGCCGGAATGCGAGGTTAAGCAAATCTTCTTTGGTCGGCTGCGCTAACTCGGCAGCAAGCTCTTCAAATTCTATAGATGCGTAAGATTAGGTATAGGGTAAAGAGAGACGCGAGTAGACCTCCCTTCATTTCCATCTGGAGGTAAGAAATCTCCTATCCTGAGTTTCCTGGCGGGAACGTGGCATCGTTCTACGCGAAGCGTTTGAAGATGTTCGCGGGTCCAGTACTTGGGAGGTTGAAGGAGAAATGTAGGCAAGAGCATCGGAGGAGCAAGGGGGCCTTCAGAGGTCTTTAAGACAAGAGCACAGAGAGCGTCGCTCTGCAATGTTCGCCAATTAGCGATTGCCAACGTTGACAAAGGCGCAGGGGGGAACCAACTTATGGATGAAAAAGCATTGCAAACACTGCAAACATCTCCCTAATGGCGGGCCCAGTGCACAGGCAAGCTTGGGGGACGAGGGGCTTGGGGCCTAACACGACAGGCAGGCACGGAATCCTTTCTCCATCACATCAAAGATACTTGACGAAAATGATCAATTTCTCGACGCTATTTCATTCATTTACCCTGTCACAATCACGTTTCTCGATATACCCTCCGAAACTCGGCTAGAAATGTAACTAGAATTCCCCTAGTCGATATGCCAGCGTCGCAGCAACCATGGCCGGCACGGATGCCGCCCGCAGAGTCCAGACGGCCGGCTCGACGCTTCCCATGTCGGTCATGATCCGCATGATCCCACTGCTGGCTAGCGCGGCGACGATCTGTGGTGTGGAGATGGCGAGATTGTGTAGGCCAAGAATGGCGCCGCGGTGTTTGCGGAGCTCATCGACCTCGTCAGCGTCAGCGTCAGAGTCCACGTCGTAGAGTCTGTAGTCCTTCCTCCTGGGCGAGATTTCTGCACCGACAATGGCGTGCGGGATCCACTGCGTCGCCGCCCAGGAGCAACCAACCAGAGACACCAGGACCACGGTGCCTTGCCACGATTTGACCACCAGGGTCAGCAACATGCAGGCCGCGAAGAGGACGTGGCTGTAGATCCAGACCGTGTGCATGGAGCACAATGCGGGGTCTGTCGTTGCGATATCTTCCGTGAGTGATGTGGTTGTACAAGGCTGGCGGACGAGACGGGTCAGGACCGTGGTCGACAGAAACGACACCAACGTCCACATCAAAAGCGCCGTGGAGCCGACTTGAGTCGCTGGGGATTTCAGAAGAGTGGCCACGTCGGTCCACCCGTGGAAAGACTGTAGCTGGGAGAGCGCATCTTTCACAAAACAACAGTCAGCATGATCAACCTCTCCAGCAAAAACTTCTTCACTGGAACATACATCTTGTGTTCACGTAACTGTGGCAGGTTAGTTAGAAACTCGTTGCTACGACAGCTGCTGGGCTCTCACCTGGTCATGTAGAATAGAAAAGGAAACCACGCTGTCCAAGAAAAGACCTGTACGGCAAAAACCTGCTTGATCCGCGTCGGGGTACAGTGGTAAGCCTGCTGGATGGAGCGGAGAACAGACCCAAGTCCAAGCGGCTGTCTATGCTCCGCCAAAGTCGCCTCGAAGTTGGGATTGCATTCCCGCGCCGTGCGCAAGCAAATCGAAACTGTGGCCGTCAGGCTGAGACAGGCGAGAATACTCAGAGCCTGGAACTGTGTCAGGGACGGCACGCCGAGTACCTGAGGCAGATCAAAACTGCCTGCCCACAGGCTGAGAATGTTAGACACGGATGTCGAGTAGCTCGCCCACGCGGTGACGCGGCTCTGTTCTTGAGCAACCACGAGATCCGTGAACAACGACCGCAGACCGAAAGCCAGTGGAGTCATGGAGACATTGAGCAGTATGACCATCAGGACCGCGACTGCCCGCATCAGGCTCGGTGATATCGACTGGAATAGATACTCGACCCAGGCCAATAACAAGATGCATATCATAGAGCAGACTGCACCAACCAGGACAAATGGCCGGCGCCGGCCCCAGGAGAGTCGGCATCTGTCGCTCATTATGCCAATTATAGGCTGCAAGAAGCCACAAGCTGGACTTGATGCCCAAACCAGAGCTGTCATGGACCGAGACAATCCTAGGGACATCAAGTATGGCTTTGGGTGTAGTTAGCAAACATCTCTGATGCGACCACGGCCTGGGCTCGATCACTTACACTGCCGTGCGAGATTATCAAAGCCCAGACAGTTTGAAGCCTGCGACCCACCAGTGAGTGAGTTTCCTTGCTGTGGAAGAATCGACTGGGAATCTTACCCTCCAAGTCCGCAAGTCAGGCAAAAGAGTCTGCCATAACTAAGTCGTTGGGTGACTTGGGATGCCACGTCTTGTTTCCTCGAGTACATTGTCGCTGTAGTGAGCGGTCCTGAGGATGAAGAGGAGATCCAACGGCTCAACTGTTTGGTGAACAGTCTTTGTGAAACTGGAGCCTCGATCTCAAGACAATTGGGCTCGTAAGGGCATGTGTAGGTCAAGAGCCCGGGCGGAGGCTGGAACTCCGTAGACCAAAGCAACCGGGATCGATCCCAAGTGGGCAAGATGGCTGTGCCAACATGGTCTGCCGGGCGTTGTCGGAGGGTGAAGACCCTACCAAGTCATCATAGCTTGAGCTCCCCATTGAGGCCGTCGACATCCACACTTTTGCTTATTCTTTCAAAGGGTAAAAGCACAGAATACTCGAGTAATGATCCTCTGATGTCGTCGGGATGTACAGTGTGTGGCTCAATCTGCCCTGAAGCCGTAGGATGTGGACAGGGTTGATGACGGTGACAGTCAGCATGACCTTTTGTCATTCATGCAAAGTAACGCTGCTGACCCCTGACTGACTCATGACGATTGCCCAGCCTTGCGCGCATGACTCGCCATTAATCCATCACACTCGCCTTAGTCATCACGTCAGTTTTGTTGACGTCGACTTTACCTCCAGCATCATCAGAGTACACAGTAGAGACTTGTCATGGGTGCGGTGCTCCCTTCAGGTAAGCATACTGCCGTCATGGCTGTAGCCATTTCCGGCGTGAAGTCAGGACCCCTGATGGTCGCCTCGAGCTGGTCGGGTCACACTCGAATACTCGACGTCACAGAGAGACATGTTGAATCCTCCTTCAATCTGGGATAGTTCTATAAAACATGGACAGTCCTCGAATAGTCTCTCGTTATTCTTGCAGCACGGTACAGCCTTGTGTACAAAGCCTCAGGTTCCCAGTGAAGTCAACAGTTTTGCCCAGATCCAATCACCGCTCCAACCGGAACGCCTCGCAGCACTTACCATCAATTTGTCAACATGGTCAAATACGCTCTTTTGCTCTGCACGGCAGTCGCAGTGACGGCCGTTGCAATCCCAGCGCCCTTGAGGCCCATTGCGGAAGTGGTAGGTATAGACAGACCTGTGCAAATACGGTTGACTAACCCAACGAAAGATGAAGAGAGGAGAGGACACTGCTGTTGAGTACTGGGACAAGCGAAGCGAGGATACCGCCGTTGAGTATTGGGATAAGGTGGGTGTTTCTGGCACAAGAATGTCTCATGGGCTGACACCACAAAGACCAAGAGAGCTGAGGATACCGCGGTCGAGTACTGGGACAAGCGAAGCGAGGACACCGCCGTCGAGTACTGGTAAGTCAACACCGTCCTGCGAACACAATATGTTCTTTGAAGCATAATATCTTGCTTCGGAACTCGACCTCGAGTCTTACAGAGCTGCTCTAACAATGATGACAGGGACAAGGCCAAACGAGGCGAGGACACTGCTGTCGAATACTGTAAGAACCCTTTGGCCCAATCAAAAGTTTCAGAGACACACTTCAGAACCTCGAACCTTCAACACGCATGTCTCCGATGCTAATACCATGCTAGGGGACAAGGTCAAGCGCGGTGAGGACACTGCCGTCGAGTACTGGTGAGTCTGTTCCCTAACAGGATATTGGCGTCGTGTCAAGTGCATTGGATATACTAACGCTCCACAGGGACAAAGTCAAGCGTGGCGAGAACACTGCTGTAGAGTAAGCTGCAGAACCACCCAGAGCCCTCGTACTGTGGTGTCACTGACAAGCTATGCAAGGTACTGGGACCGCAAGGCCAAACGTGGCGAAGATACTGCTGTTGAGTAAGTACCTCGCCTCGTCGCCTCAATGACACATGAAACTAACAGCCTCGTCACAAGATACTGGGACCGCAAGGCCAAGCGTGGCGAAGACACTGCTGTCGAGTAAGTAGCCAGCTTTCGGAAAGACCACAAACAACGAGCGTGACAATTGACGCTTTTCCTCCCAGATACTGGGACCGCAAGGCCAAAGCTAGACGCGGTGAGGACACTGCCGTCGAGTACTGGGACAAGCGCTCCCCCGACAGCGACACCGCTGTCGAATATTGGGACAAGAGATCTCCTGACAGCAACACTGCTGTTGAATACTGGGACAAACGATCCCCTGAGAGCGACACCGCCGTTGAATATTGGGACAAGCGGTCTCCCGACAGCAACACCGCCGTCGAGTACTGGTACGTACCATGCCCATATCATCCATATTCAGGACACGTGCCCTCTTTCTCCTTCCGTCCTTCCATCCTCTCCTCCTTCTTCCCTCCAAGAAACCAAGGCTCCGAGAAACACCGAACCCCACCGATCCATCGTCTTGGTTCTCCTTTGGCGACTTGGCCATCCATGGCATCTTACCGAACTCACACGCCCAGAAACTAACGCATGATCTGCAGGGACAAGAAGATGGCCAAGCGCGACACCGACACCGCCGTCGAGTACTGGGACTAGAGGGAAACAAGAAACAAGGACAAGACATTGGCGGGTTGGCGGGTCACTTGGCCCGGGCTATGACCTGTGGGGAGCCAGAGGTCATGGAAAGGGTTATTACGCACGTGCTCCTCCAACCGATAGGTCATGTGGTGGTGAGGATCCCTGAAAGCGAAAATGCGTGTGTTGGGAATATGCATGTGTGGATATGGGGTGTGCGTGGTTGTGATGTCTGTAATGTGTATGTGCTGGGGCAGAATAAGACTCGAGGATATACAAAGTATGGAAGCATTCCCAATACACATACATACTAGAGACCGAGGCTAATGCCGATCATCAATTCACACAAAAGATAATCCAATGTGCAGAAAAGGGAAGAGCCCCTTTGGATATTTCTAGACAAAACCACGACCTTGTTCTTAATTACTCCACGTCTATACAAAAACTTCGTGATCATCACTCAAAGAAGCAAGAGCACTCGAGGAGGTGCTGCAACATAAAGAGGAGAGTTTGAAATTGCAGTCTACTGAGTATTGGCGAGTAAGCAGCGCCGGGGTCGTGTCTCCGAGCACCAGACCAGCAGTGGCGATAATGGCTATCAGTGGACGATGAGGAGCGGATGGAGACGTGGATGGACTTATTCGTGCAGAGCACGGAGTGAACGTACGGAGTGAACTTGGTCTATCATCAGGTTTTGGTTAAAGACTCAAATTGGTCATGACGCTGAAGCATGAGGGACAATTCCTGGTTTGACGTAGTATATACGTATGTACGATACACCGTCTAACATCGAAGCTGAAGCCGAAGCCATACAACTTCCACCGCGCGCTCAACGCTTACATGAGAGAGAAAGTCATAACGTGTCTCCCCGTCCCTGCCGACTCTAACTATAATTCACCGCATCGTTCAAAGTGGGACTCGGTAGTGTTTTGAGACTGAGAGAAGTATCGATAGTGTAGTAGACCCGTCGTCGCAAAAGTTGTGTGAAAAAAAAAGCCGAATCATTTGATGCCGTGATGGGGCCCCTTACGAGAGGAAGTGCGGGGCGTTGAGGACAATCCCCATGATGCAGCCCGCAAGCGTGCCGGCGATGGGGATGGTCATGATCCAGGAGAAAACCAAGAGACCGACTCGCTGCCAGTTGACGGCTTTCCAGGTGCCGTTGCAGAGACCGACGCCGATGGTCGCGCCGGTGATGCACATCGAGGTCGAGACGGGGAGCTTGTACTGGGAGAACAGCAACACGGTGATGGCGGCGCCCATCTCCATCGACGAGCCTCGCGAGGGCGAGTGGTAGGTGATCTTGTTGCCCATGACCTTCATAATGTTGTAGCCGTAGGTGATGAGACCCAGGGAAAGCGTCGCTGACAGCACCGCGAGTTGCCAGATGGGCACCTCAGCGCTGGATTTCGCGGCGTCGCCAGTGTTCCAGGCCGAGTAGATGACTGCCCAGGGACCGACGGCGTTGCCAATGTCGTTGGCGCCGTGGGCAAAGGACGCCGTGCACGCAGTGATGACCTGGACAAACGAATAGGTGTGCTCGACCTCGTTGGGATATTTGGTCGCATGAGAGTACACTCGCTCCATACGTCGACCCTCGGGCGTACCCGTGACGCCGGTCTGTGCAGCGTGGATGTCGTAGTTCACGCCATACAGAACGGCGACGACGAGCATGGCCGGAATGCGTTTGAAAATAGTCTTGATGTTGCGGAGCTCGTAGATCTCGCCTTCGCCAATGGGGTTGTCGTGCAAAGTCCGCATGGCCCAGCCAAGAGGACCACGCTTCTTCCGAAGTCGTGCGTGGAACCTTGCTTGAGCTTCAGCGACCCGTTCTTTGTAGGTCAAGTGGGTGGACTGAGCCTCGACCTCGGCGAGGCTCTTTTCTGCCGTGCTATGGGAATGCCCTTTGACATCAGCTTCGATTTTATCAACGTCATCCTGACTCTCGGAGTCTGGTGTACGAGGAGCAGCTTCAGCTTCGTCGTCGTGCTTCTGAACAACGGCGTAGTCCGGAACATTGGCTTTCTCATGAACATCGGCCGGAGGTGGTCGCTTCCAGAGGAGAGGACCCATGGGCAGATGCCAGAACTTGACGGTGTGGTCCTTTTTGATAACCTTTGCGTGCAACCAGGGAACGAAGAAGATGGCAGACAGGATGAACAAGCCACCACCAACACCCATGGTGACAGAGGCAATGTACCAGGCGGGTTTCTTGTTCAGACCGAGATTGGGAGAGCCCTTGTAGACAACGGACAGAGTGCAGATAGTGCCGGCAACAAGGAAGAAAAACGGCGAGGTAAACACGGCCCAGGGTACCGGGTTCTTTCGCATATGCACCACCAGCTTAATGAGCATGAAGATTGTCGCAGCGAAGCCACCGGAGATGATGGGAGCCATTCCCAAGCCGGCGAAGATTGCACCGAGACCCTGGCCGTCGTTCCAGCCCCATTCTACCTGAGAGGCACCGGCGAGCGCGACACCCACACCCGCAACAGCCGAAATGAGCGAGTAGGATGATGAGACGTGGGCAGAATGTCGGGTACACCACATGACCCAGGACGAGGCACCGGCGAGCGCACAAGTGAATGCGAGCATCTGGACACCAGCGTTGTCATCGAAGGCAGAGAGGGGAATGATCTTGTTCTTGATGGTGGACGCAGTTCGGGCGCCAACAGTGATGGCTCCAACCATCTCAAACACAGCACCAAGGACCATGGCTTGTTGGTATGTGACAGATCTGGACGAGACACTGGTCGCCCAGCTGTTTGCTACATCGTCTAACAAGACAATCAGCACCAAGGCCAAAAGTGCAGGAACGAGGATGAGGTACTTACTTGCACCGTTGTTGTAAGCATCAAGTAGGGCAAACAACGTGCCAATGGCAAAGAGATAATCGTACTCGTGGAGGCGCGGCATCTTGGTGAAGATTGGACAAGTGTGTCACTCCGCGAGAGATATTCAAGTTGATAGAGAGCACGCAAGAGAAAGGAACAGACGGCAGGTCAGGGCTTTTATGTTGACGCAGTGTTCGGAGCGGCTCAGAGTATGTAACTGCAAAATCCTTGCTCTCTCTTGGCTGCATAGGATCAAAGTAGCTTTTCTTCTCCCGTGCCCACGCCACTAGGCGTAGCCAAGTCATCATCAGATCGGAATGTGAGATACCTACTCCGTACTTCGGGCGACATCAAATTCCACATTTCACAGAGTCCCAATGCCTGGGTTGGCCCACGGCCTCTCCGAAGGTTCGACTCGGCGGCCCAGGGGGTTTGGGATGAAGCAAAAGCCAAGGACCGATAACCCACCTGTATTGAAGAGAAGCAAGTTCAAGCCGGACTCAGGTTGTCTTCTCACCTTCCAGAAGGCTTGGCTGCAACTCCGAGCGGGCGTTTCTGCGAATTTGATATATGGCGGGAGCGAGCACGTTCCTCCAGGGAAGTATATAAGTGGCCCATTGAACAGGCACGACAGACAAGGGAACGTCTCCGCCCTTCTTGGCATGGCTTGGCGGAGTGAACCCGCCTTCGCTTCGCCGCTTTGCTCAGGCTTGTCTGTTGCACGGCTCCCGATACGTTCCAGCTCCAATATCGACTTCATCTCCGACCCTGCTAGAGTCACCCAACGGGGCAGTCACCTTCTGATCCCTTGGCATGCAGAGATTTTCTTTTGTTGCTCATTGTCATGGGTGGGGGACTGAATGCACGTTTTCGAGAAAGCGACCCTGAGAGGAACGGACGACATGTCAGATCACACGAGATGGCGGCGAAGTGGGAAAGAGGGTCTTCTGAAAGTCGATCCATTGCAACATCTCGCTTGATAAATTAGTCCAGTTAGCTTCCCACATGTTCCTGCCTTGGGGAATGCCCAGGCTGTGCTGTATGCATCATTAATCTGAGGCATCTGTTCGCGTGCACATAGCCCTTTGAGAAAAGCACACGGTGCCGCAGCACAGGTCATGAAGCATCTGGGCACTTTGTCTCACTGCTTTCGACTTCGATCTCGACGTCGACCCTTGCTAGTAAAGTACTGTGGTGAAGCACTGGCCGGGTAGATTCCTTTTCTCTGAGACCTGCCTGGATATCTTTTTCTTGCCGTGCAGCACAGTCAAAAATTTGTTCCTAGGGCCAACGTTCAACGCGGACAAGTCTGCTGGAAGTGAAGTGTCGTTTATAAAACGACTACCGAGTAGAAAGAAAGCTGGTTGTTTGATGGCACGTGGCTAGGTGGCTTGTCACTGCAATTTCAGCAAACATGCCAAGCAAATATGTTTGCTTAGCCACGTGACTCAAGTACAATAATTAGCATTGGCGGGGTTTGAGTGCGGGCGTAGCATTTGCTCGTGCGACGGAGTCACACAGCAGTCAGAAACCTGACACGTCTCGATTTCTGAGCCTACAAATAGTTCAGCGGGGAGGCAGTCGTTGCTCGCGGCTCATCACTCTGCAGCCTTACCTTTCTCGTCTTCCTTAACCATCTCACAGACGTGCAAGAGTACCATGTCGCACTCGAGGAACCCCTCCAAAACCGAACTTCCAACCAGAGAGAAAGAGTCCAAGACTGAAGCCGGACAAAAGATGGAGGCAAAAGCCGCTCCCAGCAAGCCCATTGGCAAAGCGGAAGCAAAACTTCCTCAGAAAGCAGGTGGAAAGAAAAAGAAGATGGAGGGTGCGGCGCTGATTGGTATCGATGTGTCCAAAGACGTCGACTTTTCAGAATGGTATCAGCAGGTCTTGCTGAAGGGAGACATGCTCGACTACTACGATATCTCTGGCTGCTATATCCTCAAGCCCGCCTCACAATTCGTTTGGGACGAAGTTAGAGCCTGGTTTGATGCGAGGATCAAGAAGATGGGCGTCAAAAACTGCTCCTTCCCGTTGTTCGTCTCTGAGGACGTGTTGAACCGTGAGAAGGCTCATATTGAGGGTTTCGCAGCCGAGGTTGCCTGGGTTACGCACGGGGGCAGCACCAAACTGGAGAAGAAAATCGCCATTCGTCCCACGTCCGAGACTGTCATGTACCCTTAT